CTCAGGTATCCCGAGCGGATCCAGGCCTCGCTGCACCGAGCCCGCTGCTTCCTCCCGGCCGGAATCGTGGCCGTGCTGAGGCTGCGCCCGTCCCTGGTGGCTGCGGCAGTCCAGGCCTTCTACCTGCGGGATGCGGGCGATTTACGGGCCTGTCGGCGCCCCTTCAGAGCCTTCCCTGCCGAGCAGCGAGTGATGGCCCTGGTAAGTGCTCTCTGGAGCCGCTGATGGCCCTGCTGTGCTCCTCTAAAGCCTGTGACACCCTGGCATGTGCTCTTCTAACTCACTTAATTCCCTTCTGTCACTGACATGGGTTCTGTGGCCAGTGGTATAAACACAGAGATTTAACTTAAAACTGCCAGTTTTCTGTTGGTTTTTTTCCCCTTCTGGCTCTAGGGATGAATTTCCAGGTCATTGCATTAATAGCTCCTCTGGATTGATGTGGCTGGACTTTGAAGGGGCTGATCATGAGAGAATTGTTTCTGAAACCAGAGGTTGTGATAACAATTCCTCTGCTGAAGTGCCTGCTGAGTAAATTGATCGCCTTGTGTGATCAGAGCATTTTGACAGCACTGCCAGCCAACATGAGGAGTTGCTCCTATTCAGTGGTTCACTCCAAGGCCTTCCACCTTCTCAGCTGTGCTCTCACAGCTCAGTGAAAGCTTTTATGAAGTCTTTTATGGGCACTGTCCAAGCACTGTTGTATCTGATTCATTTTGTTAGAGAGTTATACCACAGAACTCCTGAAAAAAAGCTTTAGAGTCAAATTTTGTACTTCTAGACTGTTGCCAAAATCTTTTATTCAAATTTAATTTTACATACACCTTGTTGATGCAAATACAGAATATCAAGGATTTTTCCTAATGTATTTTGAGTGACAAAAGTTCATATTTACTTGGGCATTTCAATTTGGGACATACTTTGTAAAGTCTGAAAAACAACTTATCAGAAAAATCTCTCTTAAGTCACATTTTGAATGCAGTCTCAGGTGTTGTCTGTAATATGGGTGCCTTCAAACACACTCTGGTGAGCCTGGAGGAGTTTGCTGCCTGTCCCCATCAGTCAGGCTGCAGGGAGTGTTTGTTTCTGCTCTGGCTGTTTCAGGTGACTTTCACTCGGTGTTTATATGCGCAGCTGGCGCAGCAGAAGTTTGTTCCAGACAGACGCAGTGGATACACCCTGCCTGCCCCATCTCATCCTCAGTACAGAGCCCACGAGCTGGGCATGAAGCTGGTAATGAGTTTTGGGGCATTTTGGACTTGGTTCATGTATGCCAGGGAATGAGTCGTTGGCTGGAAGTTGCCTGCTTGTGCAGAGAAATGTGAGCAAAGTCCATCACACCTGGAGAACCTCTTGGTGTTGCATCTTTTATCTACAGGCTCATGGCTTCGAAATTTTGTGCTCCAAGAGCAGTAAAGTAGCTCCTGATGCCAAGAGAAGCGTGTTAAGCAGTCCTCTGTGGGAGAGATTCCTCAGGAGCTTGAAGGAGAAAGATTATTTCAAGGTGAAGCAGTGTGTGCTTTTAAACATTGCAGGGGAAATAAACTTTAACCCTTGAACTTGTGGAAGGAGTTGCAGTGGGGCAAGAACTTGAATCCTTGTCTCTGTTTAAAAGGAATGAATGTCTTTAAAGAGGACATGTGCAGTTTGTTCCCCTTTGAAAGGAATTTATTTTGGAAATTAGAAAGGAAAAAGCAAGATTTGGGGATTGATTCATTCATCTAAAGAAAGGGGAGAAATACACTTGAATGAAGAGATCCACCATATATGATTGTGTGAGGTGTAACTGATTTCACTGGTTTACATTTCATTTCCACACCTAGAATTAAATATTGTTCAAGATCCATACATAAAACCATAGACATATTTGGGCCCATGAAAGTGTAATTTTTATGTCTGTGTGGTTTTTGTGAGTTCTGGGGATTTTTTTTGTGAGGTTTTGTGGTTTTGTTTTTGTTTTGTTTTTTTTTTTTTAACATGCCTTTGACTACTTATTTGGAGTTAATAAATTGGACATAAATTGACTACTTACATGAAGGTTATAAAATTGGATAACTCTTTTGAAATTCTTAGGTTAATACACCTTAATATACTTCAAATATAGGAATGCCCCTTTGCTGTATTGAGTTCCAAGTACCTGGCAAAGAGGTTTTACTTGTTTTGGTTCTCTCAGCATTTCTGTCTAGTAACACTCATCCTTAGGAAGCCTGACTGTGAAGAGGAAGGGCAGGATTTGGATTCATGCCTGTGACTTGCATTAAACAGGGAGAAATGGAAGGATCAGCGAAGTACCTGGAGCTGTTGCACATGGCAGAAGATCACTTCCAGCGATTTGTTTCCGTGCCAGAAGAGTAAGAGCTATGTGAAATTCATGAGTGTCACATACCCTACAAATTCATTATTGACCTTTGAAATCCTTGCTACAAAAACCTGAACCCTTTTCTCCATTGTACATTTAACATGGGAGCTGTGGCCAGGAAACACAAGTACTGATTCCTCAGAATGCTCCACTAGGAGAAGTTCTGGCTTGAATAACTCTTTATCTTCGTTTTGTGAAATGCTGAGCTCTTCCAAGGGGTTTCCAGGTGGTGACTGAAAAGCATCACTTGCTTGTTGACTGTAGAAAGTGTATAAAAGCTTCATTGAAAAGCAGTCCCAGTGAATAATAAATACAGGGTAATCTGTCTCCTTTGCTCAAAGGGCTGGCTGTGGATTTCTCTGGGAGATCAAGTCCAAAAAATTAATCACTACAAGAATGTCTGAAGCTTTGCCAGCTTATAATACCTTGACTCTTAGTTTTTTTGAGTTTCCAGTCTGTGTTGTTTGGGATCTGACAATCTTAATATTTACCAAGGCAAAATAAATGTAAAGAAAAAGAGCCGTGACAAATGGGCTTTGGAGCCATCAGCTGGACATTGCAGGGACTGCCTGTGTCCTGTTTTGGCCAATACTCTGCATAGTACTCTGGTACTTCCCCAGGTTCATTTCCCTTTTTGATGTGTTTACACAGAAGGAAACATGAAGAATTTGATTGCAAACCTGAATGCAGAGCATGTGATCCCATTGAATCCGCTTCAGTAAATTGAATTCTTTTCTTCTAGCTCTGATGAAGTGAGCCCAGGTGATGAAATCCTGACACTGCTACAGACAACATCCATTGATCTGAAGGAATTTGAGAGAGAAGCAGCTAGTCTTCCTCCAGAGGATGGTGAGCTGGCTGGGGGAATTACTCCTGTTACAGGTGGTTATTTGTGGGGGGAGAGGGGGAATGTTGACAGCGCTGAAAGGAGAGTAAATGCAGCCTTCATTAAGCCTAAATACTAGATTGGCTCTCCCAATTTAGAGGAAGCCTTTCTTCCTCCACTTAGTGGCCAAAGGATTCTCAGTGGCTAGAATGGTATCTCTTAGTTTGACCTCTTCAAAACAGAGTCTAAAAGTAGTGAAAAGAAATCTCCACTCTGTTCTTCTCAGCCTCTCTCTGCCTTATGCCGTGTGTGGCCCAGGATCAGCCCAAAAACTTAACTGCAGAACTGAGCTGCAAAGGGGTTTCAGTCCTGTCAGTGAGCTGGTTTGGGCCCTGTGGCCAGCAGGCTTGTGCAGAGTCCCAGATCTGTCCTGTGTTCTTTCAGATGACAGCTGGCTGGATATTGCACCAGATGCTCTGGATCAGATGCTGCAGGAGGCAAGAAAGGAGTCCCTTCCTTCCACAAATGAGGAAGAGCAAAAATATGACTTGGAAACAGTTGCTGAGAGCATGAAGGCTTTTGTGTCCAAAGTCTCCACGCACGAAGGAGCAGAAATGCCATGGTAGTAGCACTTGAGTCTGGGGTCTGGTGTGGGATGTTGCGCCCTGCTGCAGCCTGTGGTTGATTCTGTGATGCAGAGAATCAGAGTTTGAAGGTGTTGTGCTGAGCAGGGCCTGAAGCAGAGCCATAGCAGTGAACATGCACTTGCTTTAAATCAGCTTGGTACCACTGTGACACTGGTGCAGGATCACGTGCTGCAAGCTGAGCTGCTCTCTGTCACTCAGTTTGATTTTGTGGTCTTCAAAGGTTTTCTCTTTTATGCCAAGAATTCTTCCACTCACCGTTTCATGTCTAATCCATACAGGCTTCAAACTTCTGAGGACTTCTGAATTCCAGTGTCCCAACTTCAGTCCTAGCTTGAAAGAAATCAATATGGCTTGTGCCTGTGTCAGGCTTATGCAAGTATAAAAGCTTTGTTTCTAAAAATTATTTTTATATTTCAGGTCATCTGATGAATCCCATGTTACCTTTGATGTGGATTCTTTTACAAAAGCACTGGACAAAATTTTAGGTGAGATTGCTTCTTTATTTGAAATAAATCCCTGCCCTGATTTCTTTGCTGCTGTACTGACACAAAATAATGCCCAGGGGCGGACTCGGAGGAGCTGGATTCTGATGATCTGGATGAAGAGGAGGAGTTTGGTTTCTCAGATGGGGATGATGCAGACCTGACTGCTGGGGATCAAAGGCAGGAGCAGAAGGTGTCTCCTGAGGAGCTCGTGGGCAGTCTCAAGGCGTACATGAAGGAGATGGACCATGAGCTGGCCCAGACCAACGTTGGGAAAAGTTTCGCCACCCAAAAGAGAGGGGTGAGTGTGCCCTGAGCTCTGGTTTGGAGCAGTAATTTCCAAACAGGAAATGTGCTACAAGTGGCCATTCTGAGTAATGTGATCAGAGCCTTCCCCCATGCAGGCAAAGTGTGCTGTACCTGCACCATAATATGTTTTTTCAACCTAAAGCTTACCTAAGCTTTGCATTTGCCCATCTTTTCCAAGACTTAGTTCCATTTCCCTGTTTTTAGTATTATGGTAAGCAGCTGCATCTTCACTTGCAAGTTCCTGTAGTCATTTTCTCCCATAGGAAGCTGAGCCAGGACTCAGGAACACTTTCTGTCAGTGGCATGAGCATTTGGTGGCTGAATTGCTCTCTGTCAAGACTCTGGAGTGTACTGGACCTTGTTGGCTGCAGAATTGTTGTTTCTTTTCTCCTGTGATTTGCCTTTTTTTCCCTTCAATCTGCTGATGCAATTTGAAAACCTTTCTCTTTGTGCTCACTGCAGGCGAGTTCTGTTGAAGCAGCCCCGTCTGAGAGTGCTGGCCCTGACTGTGGAGCTGAGGATGCTGAGCTGGCCCCCGTGGATGTGGACATGAACCTGGTGGCAAACCTGCTTGAGTCCTACAGTGCCCAGGCTGGCCTGGCAGGACCCACCTCGAACATTTTACAGAGCCTGGGGGTGAATTTCCCTGAGAACACAGAGCTCACTGGCAGCTGAGCCATGCAGGGAGAGGCTTTGGACAAGACATGGCTGTGGGGAGATGAAGCACAGACAGACGGGCAGGATGTGGAAGAAGAGGCCAAAGGTTTTAATTTAGAGCATTCTGTTCATTATGTGTCACTTCAGCAAAGTGAATTTACCTGCAAAAGCTTTCTGACTGGACACTGTCTTGGATGGAAATGAGATTTTCCCAGTGCTAACACAATTTCAGAAAACTGAAAAATTATGTTGAATGAATTACTCAAATGAGGTTGTCTTTTATTACAAAACCTCTCTTCCATTTTTCCAATCAGTGATCCAATTTGCCACATTTCTAAAATGTCCTTTTACCCATTGCTGAGTGGGTTCAATATCTGGGAAGCAGTTCCTGTTCTGAAAATGCTGCTGCCTTCGGGGGGAGGTGGTGAAATACCACATTGTAGGAAGAATCTCGTGGATTTGGGAACGTTGGTGAAATGTTGGGCAGACATTTAATCCTTCCCAAGAGCATGATGCTGCATTGTAAGAACTTCTGACAATTACTGTAAGAGCCTGCTCCTTATTAAGCACAAGGTTTTGAACAGTAGTTGGATCAAATGCATAAATACTGGCCAGAAGCATTTTTAAAATTTATTTCAGTAAAAACAGAAATACAGCTTGATTACTTAAGTTTTTTGAAGGTCTGCATAGCTTCCTCAGTGCAGTATCAGTTCTTGGAGTGAAAGCTTTTTCATCATTGATCATTTTCTGAATGAATTCCATTATTGCTGAATGTTGGTGTCATGCCAGCAGTAGCTGTGTGTGAGTCCAGGCTGAGCAGTTTGGGTTTTTTTGAGTGAAAATGTGGCTAGAAGGCATGTAGCATGTTGCTTTCATGAATGAAAAATGTATTTTAAATATGACAACTTTAATTTCAACAAGATACATTTGAAATTAAATACATCGTGATTCTTGATACACAGACAGCAGCAATGCAGTCCTGCCAGGTCTAAATCAGCTTCTCAATTTCTCTTTTTTTTTTTTTTCATTCAGCAATTAATGAGTTGTCCTCCATTGATGTTGTGTAATTTACTTTGTCAGCAGCTCAGGGAGAGTACTGGCAGGTTGGACAGGGATTAGAGATGGACAGCAAGAGCTGGGAAGTGCGAAGAAGGTTCTGCTAAATTTCAAGGAATTTGGACTTGAGGTGAGAGACAGAGACAAATCTGGGGTGGGAAAATGGGGTTAAGTGAGGCTTTTTAAATTGGACAAGGATATTGAGCAGTTGGTGGTGGAAAACTTGAACCTTGGGAAGGGTTTGTGTTTCACCAGGAAAGGTAATTAACACATAAAATTCTCCACTGATGAGTAGTTAGATCAAGTTTAGATACTTTAAAACATAATTGAGTTTAAGAACATGATCACAGTTAACTGCTGTGTGGCCTGTGCCATACCAAAGGTCCAAATAGATGGAAGGACTCTTGTAGTGCACGAGGAGAACTGCTAAGATGAGGTTCAGAACAAAGCTGCTCTTTGGAAACACTCCAGCTGAGGTTTCTGCTTGGATAATCTCACTTTCCCATCAGTGGGACGGGGATTTCTCTGGGGCTGTGCTCATCCCAGCAGTTTCACAGTGGAGTCCTTCCAGGCTCTGGAAGTGCTCCCGGGAGAGTTTGCTGTGGAAGAAGAAGCATTTCCATGCTGCCTCTTCCACTGCTTTGAGGTAACACACGAAGCATCTCTGCTTTTAGTTCCGAAAGTGTTTTTAGTGAAGGAAGCCTGATGGAATTAGGGAAGACAAGTGTGGCGTGGTGGATTGCTATTGAAGTATATTCTGAAGTTGTTTAACTGGTTAATTTTCCCTTATTATCTGTATTTCAACTGGGGGAATCCCCATTCACCTGCAATACCAATGATATCAATTGCAAGAAACCCTGCCTTTGCCATTAGTTCAGGGATCTCAATGGATGTGGAATCCCCATTTTCTTTCTTAAACAGAACAGGGAACACCCTTTATGATGTGATTTTACTGGTTTGAAATGAGAGTAAACCTTTAATTTTCATCATCTTTCAGTTTAAATTGACAAGGAATCTCTGTTGTGCCTTAATTTTTAGGGTTTAAATTGGTAGAAACCCCCACTGATTTCATCATTTGACGGACTTATACTGAGTGGTAAAAATAGGGTTGGGGAAAAAAAAGCAGCAAAAATGATCAGGAGAAAAAATAAGGCAGCAAAAAAGTGCAGGAAAAAAAGGGTGGGGGAAAAAAGAAAAAAAAGGCAGTACAAGAGGATGGGAAAAAAGACAGTGGAAAAAGCAGGGCGGAGAGAAGGCAGCCAAAAAGATGGCAAAAAAGGGCGGAGGAAAAAAAACGGGTGCAAAAAGGTGGCAAAAAAGGGGAGGGAAAGAAAAAGCAGAAAAAAGCAGGAAAAAAATGGGGGGAAAAAGGCAGCAGAAAAGACAGAGAAGAGTGAAAAAGTGGAGATGGAGTAACAGTGAAATGTGGCATTTAAGAAGCCGGAAATCCCTAGAAAGGTGAGGAGAAAAGGGTGTGAAACGTGAGTGGGAAAAGGGTGGTAAATATGAGGAAATAAGAACAGGAATCTCAGAGACACCCCCACACCTCAGGCCGTCTCCCAAATCCCACAGGCCACCCCCATGTACCCCCAAGAGAGCCCCTCCAAACCCCACAGACACTTGGGGCTGGATTCCTACAGGAACACTGAGTAACAACTCAGCTCCTTGAAACAGGATGGAAACAACCACCAGGGGTGGGAATGTGTGCCCACTGTGCTTCCAGGCTGGGATCAGCTGTGTGGGGCCCTGCCGTGGGAAAGTGTCCTTAACAACTGCCAGGCTTTGGGCTGCAGCTGGAGCTGGGAAGCAAAGGGATTAGTCCAGGCAGGAGAACATCCCATCGTGTGGTACTCCTGCAAAGTGTGGGTGTTTGGAACAGAGCCTCTCCTTCAGCAGGCCAACGCTCCCAGATGGAAATTCACAGGGGTACGAGGCTGGGAAGTGAAAAGCAAAGCTGCTGGGAAGGTAAAGCTCCGTTCACCCAGAGAGATCATACAGGTCACTTGAGCACTGTTACAGGCAGGAAACAGAAAATGAGAGATTCCCAGTAAAGCCTTTGTAGTTTAGTGGGGAAAAGGAGTAATGATACCCAGTGGCTGCAGGGATGGTGATCTAAATCAGTCCAGACCAGATTTCCCTTTTTTTAATTGGTGCAGTTATAAGGCCAAATAGTTTGGGAATATACTCGAGTTTAATCGAGCTGTCCTCCATGCTGCATACTCACAGCAGCCATATTTAACTCGCATATGATGTGTGAATTTGCTTCTGTCCCTATCCCTAATGTCATCCTTCCTGCTTTTTCAGCTTCTTTTTAATATGCTAGTAAATCTTCTGCATCCCTCTGCAATATTTCCATGGATAAAAACACTGAAGAACATTACCTAAAGGATGCTGCCCACAGCTGAGCACAAGGACCAGTGGGCAAGGATGTTGTATCAGCATTTTCTGTCCCTGTGCTGACACTGTTCTCCTTGGAAGGGAGCTGGGAAATTTGCATTTCTGCTCCTGGGATCTTTCTCATGTTTATCACAGCTGATGCCAACCCCAGTTTTCCCACTGTAATGATGATTCTGGACATCTGAGCATACTTGCTAGCCATGAAAATAACAGATGGTTATTAAGGAAGGCAAAGTCAAGCCACACCATTTCTGTATGCAAATGGAAACGTGGCCATCTGTTGCTTCTCTTTGGACCGCCACTTGTTGCTTTCGGGGGTCACTCGCCGCTGTCCCCCGTCCCTCCCCGGCCCCCCGGGACCCTCCGGCTAGCTGTCCCCTCCGGGGCCGGGGTTTTCCGCGGTCCCGCTGCCCTGGGCT